GTGTAATTGTTTGCTGTTAGTAATTATCATCTATTGAATACTTCTCACTGTGTGGCAAATCCTATAAAAGTGTCTGTATATACAGGGTGGGCAAAGGTAGATTTACAGTTGTGAAACAGTTTATTCTTTTTTAAAACAGATATGTTTTTTAAAATTTGTTTGTTTTAATCCTTACCAGAGGATATGTTTCCACTGGCCTCCTGAAAATACCACAGTGGTTTGGAGTCCTTATTCTAGGTGGAAAATTTTAGTAAGTTGGTGATAGTAAAGGTGCTTTTAGGATCTTAAAGCTGATAAGATATTTATTAAACACCCTCTAGGAGTAGAGAAATCAGGCATGGTGTTATCCTTGCAGAAATTGTCAAGCTGATACCAGTCACCAGCACCCTGAAGAGGTATTTGATGTGCCCCTTTGGTAGAAAATTAGAATTTAATCTGGTTCTTTATTTTTCATTCCTAGAAACGACTACAGAAATGATCAGCGCAACCGACCATACTGATGACTGTTTTGAATGTTCCTTTGTCTCTGACATGATCCATAGTGAAATTGCCAGAGTTTTGCCTGCTGCTTTCCTGGTGGCCTCTTCTTGGGTAGTGAAATTAAGTGACATTTAGAATATTATTTGGGTGGTAGGGCTGGGACAGTTTTTCTTTAGTAATGTCTGTTGGAATTTTCCCCTTTAGTTTCCAACTTTCCCCTTCCCAACCCTTGAAGCTAAGTGCGTTGTAAAATATTGCCAAAATGGAAAGTGTTTTATAATACTGCAATAAAGGCTTCTTGTTTTGTGGATTTTTGTATATTAGTGCATTGTTCTGTCACACTCAGGATTCAGTTACAGCAGACTCTAACCCTGAAGAATGAGGAAATGGAGCCTACTTTATTAAATTAAAATGTTACTTTCAACAGTATTGATTGAGCTTCTACTCTGTTTAGAATAGCAGTTTCTAAAGAATGGCTGCACATCAGAATCACCTGAAGGAGTTGTCAAAATTAGATTTCCTAAGCCTCATCTCAAGTGTGTTGGATCAGAACTTGGTGGCGGTATGGGGAAGGAGTTAAGGAACCTTTGTGTTAAGCTCACCAGGTGATTTTGAGAGTTCCAGTTTATAATTTAGAACCATTTATTTAGGGCAGTGTTCTAGATGCTGGGAGTAGGGAGGTCTAAGGGCTAGGTAAGAAGAGTGAGGATTCAATAAGTTAGGGTTAAGATACCAGTGTACATGGTATGTTATTTGGTATTCATTAAAAACTATTTCTTCTACCCTTACCAAGAGCCTGGGACAGACACTATACCAGATGCTGGCTATGTTGCTCAACAAGCAAACACAATATACAGATAAGTGCTCCAATAACAATAAATGCAAGGTGCTTTTGAGGGCTGATTTGAAGGACACTTAACTCATGGCATCAGGAAGGTTTGGTGAGTCTTGAGGGAAGAGTAGGAATTGGCCAAGTAATGAGGCTGGGTTGAGGAAATGGTGTTCCCAGCAGAAAATTAATGACATCAACAAATAAATCAGAGGAATAGAGAGATTGAGGAATAGACACTGGCTTGAGAAGGGTAAGTAGTGCATTGTGAGGGAGGAGTTAAAGATAGGCTTGCAAAAGATAAGACAGGAGAGGTAAACAAGTTTTACCATAAGGTCCTTGCATTTCAGTTTTCCCTCTGCCTCCAAATAGGGAGTCAAAAATTTTAACCAGGGGAGTGTCCTGACCTGAGTGGTATCTACTGAAAGACGATAATGGCTGAAAGTGAAGAAGCTGAATAGGAGACAATGGTAAGCCAGTGAGAAATACTGGTCTGAGCTCAGATATTGACTGGATGAGGAGGACATAACTAAATAGATTTGAGAAATGAGGGAAATTTGACAGGATTTGGCTAGATGTCAGAAATAGTTGGGAGGGAAGAGTTAGGTTACTGGCCTTGGCAATGTGATAGGTATTTATTGAAATAGGAAACACTGAATAAGGAACAGATGTGGGAACAAGATGGAAATGAATCATTTTAGGTATGTTGAGCTTGGGGCACTCATTTATAAGTAGAGACATCCAGTAGACGATGTGTAAATCTGCAAGCTTAGAAAACTACACTTCCCTGATTTCCATACTGACTTGTTTTTGCTAACTTCTCCACTTGGTCTTTGCAGGTTGAAAGTTCCTTGGCATGTTCTGATCTCCGTTCTCTTTTAGTTATACTCACTTTTATTCTGGGCACACTCATTCAGGTTATTGCTTTAAATACCACCTAATACAGTGATGACTACCAAATTTATGTCTTCAGTCCTGACCTCTCCCCTTAACTCTGGTTTATACCCAGCTGCCTATTTGATCTCTACTAGGATGTACTAAATAAATTTGATTTTTCTTGGCAACTCCTCCAAGATTGAACAAAACTTTGGATCTCCCTCTCCAAGTCAGTTTCTCTCTTCCTAGTCATTTCCATCTCAGTAAATGCCTTCACTGTCCACCTAGATCAATCAGATCAGGTAAAAAAAAACTTTAGAGCTTATACTTGCTTTCTGTCATTCGTTCTGTACCTGCAGTTCCTTTTAATTCTACCTCCAAAATATATCCTGAAACCATCTTTATAGTCTTGGTTACAATCGTATGAGCTACAGTCATCTCTTTTATGGACAATTGCAATTGCCCATTATTAGGTCCTCCCAGTCTTGCCTCTCTAAAATCAGTTTTTCATACAGCAGCCAAGTGATACTGTAATGATGTAAATCAGACCATATGTCATGCCTCTTTAAAACCCTTTCAATGACTTTCTGTTGCAAGTAGGCAACAAATTCCTTACCCTGGCTTACAAAGCCCTATAGGATCTGGCCTGCCTACCTCTCCAACTTCATTATATAACATCCAGACTTACCTTGCTTTGAGCACATTGGTCATAATTCTTTTTTCTTTTTTTTTAATATATTTTATTGATTTTTTACAGAGAGGAAGGGAGAGGGATAGAGAGTTAGAAACATCGATGAGAGAGAAACATCGATCAGCTGCCTCCTGCACACTCCCCACTGGGGATGTGCCCGCAACCAAGGTACATGCCCTTGACCGGAATCGAACCTGGGACCCTTGAATTCGCAGGCCGATGCTCTATCCACTGAGCCAAACCGTTCAGGGCGGTCATAATTCTTGATGGTATCAGATATGATTCTGCTTCAGTATTTTGTATATATTTTATCTAGAATTCTTGTTCCTCAGATAGTCATATGGCTGACTCCTTTTCACTACAACTAGGGTAAATCCTTCCTTTGAGGTCTTTCTTGGCTTTTATCTAAAAAACGGCCTCTCTCTCTGCCTGACCGGCGTGGCTTAGTGGTTGAGTGTCAACCTATGAACTAGGAGGTAGGTCATGGTTTGATTCCCAGTCAGGGCACATGCCCAGGTTGAGGGCTTGATCCCCAGTGTGTGGCGTGCAGGAGGCAGCCGATCTCTTCATTGGTGTTTCTATCCCTTTCTCCCTCTGAAATAAAAACATCTTTATATAAAATACTGCCTCTCCTAGTTACTTTCACATCACCTCTTAAGTCTTTTTTTTTTTAATTGATTTTTTTACAGAGAAGAAGGGAGAGGAATAGAGAGAAACATCGATGAGAGGTCGATCAGCTGCCTCCTGCACGCTTCCCAGTAGGGATATGCCCGCAACCAAGGTACATGCCCTTGACCGGAATCGAACCTGGGACCCTTCAGTCCGCAGGCCGACACTCTGTTGAGCCAAACTGGTTCAGCACCTCTTAAGTCTTTACAGTACTTCTCAGTATTTGAAATTATCTTTTTGTGGGTATAAACTTCTCTCTCGATTAGAATATGATCTCCAGGAGAGTAGGAAACCTTGTCTGTTGTCCACTGTTCTAGGTTCCATTGCACATTCACCTAGAACAGTCTGAGGCACAGGTTAGGGACTTAGTGAATATTGACTAAATGAATCTATTACAGATGCAGATTTGAGAGTCATTAAGATGAAAGTGGATAGGATTAAAATAAGGCTGTTTATAATAGTGGTTCTTTATCCCAGCTGTATACTGGAATTAGCAAGTTTTTTAAAACAAGGATGTCTGAGCTTCACTCCAAAATGATGAAGTCTGTGATCAAGTAAATGGTCCCTGGATTTCAGATGATCTGATTCCAAAGTATAGACTTTTTTTTTTTCCTTGAAGATGGACATAGTTTGTAGGGATTGGTGTGGCAGATTCTACTGGCAAAGAGAAACTGAAGCCTTCAGTAAACAAGGAGGAACTAAAGTAGTTTGGGAGAATAAATAGGGCCTGTCAAAGAAATGGCCCGAGGTAGGTAGAAAGTAGACATAGGAGAAGAGAGAGCAGAGAGTGTGGTTGGTCTTGACTACAGCCTAATTATTTCCACTGAGAGAATGGTGGGGGGCTGGGCAAGTTAGTAAGAGGAAATGGTCCGCCCTGACCGGTTTGGCTCAGTGGATAGAGCGTTGGCCTGCAGACTGAAAGGTCCCAGGTTCGATTCCAGTCAAGGGCATGTACCTTGGTTGCGGGCACATCCCCGGTAGGGGGAGTGCAGGAGGCAGCTGATCGATGTTTCTCTCTCGTCGATGTTTCTAACTCTCTATCCCTCTCCCTTCCTCTCTGTAAAAAAATCAATAAAATATATTTTTTTTAAAAAAAGAGGAAATGGTCCAAGACTCATGCTTATAGGATTTTCTCCTATTTTCCCTTCAGCAGTCCTTCCCCCCACCCCCCACTGGGGGCAGAAGCTCAGTTCTCTAGCTTTGTTATTAAGTTCTGGTTATAGACAAGGGCTTGGTTTAGGGAGGCAGGCCGGTCATCCAGAATAGCTTTGGTTCTGTCCTCCATGTCCCTTCAACCCAGAGTGAGGAGACCTGTGTTTCAGTGAAGCCTCTGATGAAGGGAACAACATAGGTAGAAGTGACATTCATTTATTCATCGAGGGTAAGTATAGACATTTTCTCAGGGGAGCCTGAGAAGCATCCTCAGGAAGTGAGGGCTAGGCCCAAAGAACTGACCTATTTGGAGGTTTTGGCAAAGATCTGAAGCTGTTTCCTGATTGCTGGTGTCCAAGGCCCTGTGGCCTGTGACTTGTGGTTTAGTGGTTTAGGGAAATAGGGAGGGAAGGCAGAGGTGAGGTAACAGGGAGACCTTTTCTGGGCCCTCAACTTTTCCTGTTGGTCTGATGAGGCACTGGCCTTTGCAATAAACAAGGGGCTAAGCTGTGCAAGTCGAAAGTCTTGGATATTTAACTCTTCTAGGTTCTCATTCTCTTCTCTGAACCTTGTAGGCTCTTCCTTCTCCTTGGTCAGAGGTGACTCAGATACAAAGAAAACCTTGTTTTTCAGCTTGTTTTTGATCCAGGGATCAATTGAGGCCAAAACAGTGAGTGTTTCTTGTAGCTGCATTGAAATAAAGGCTCTGTGGCTGGCTGGCTTCAGGCTAAGGCTGGGAGTGGAAGGGGTTACCCATGGGAGGGGGAGCTCTAACCACAGGGCACTATGGCCCCAAGGAATGAGGTCAAGGGACTGTGTGAGGACTTACTCTCCTCTCCTCCCTCCTGACAAAGCAAGTAGTGAGGCTAGATGGGAAGGGCTTGGAGGAGGGGTTAGAAGAGGAAGAGGAAGGTAGGAATGCCTTACACTCTTCTTTATAGACAGGCTTTTTTCTGTATCTAGCATGTCCAGGAGCAAGTGGAACACTGGTGGGCTGCGGATCCCCAGGACGCCCTGGTAGAGGCAGAAGGAGAGCGCCTAAGTAATCAGTCCAGGAAGATACCCTTGTCAATTCTAATCCCCTTGTGATGGCCCTCTGGCCTGGAGAGTGGGAGATGATGGCTTTTCAGCTAAGGTATCCCTTTCCTTGCCTTTTGGGGCCACTGCATTAGGTTCCATTGCACATTCACCAGGAAGAGTTCAGACAGTCTCTCTAATGTGTAAGAAATGCCTCTTAACACCCATCTCCTGTCCCTTACCCCTTAACCCACTGTTCTCTAATCCTGAAGAAAAGGTTACTCCGAACTCCTGGTAGGACTGGAATCTATATATATAGAACCCTGATATGCAAATAGACTGAACAGGGAACAACCAACAGTCAACAATCAGTTGCTATGACGTGTGCTGACCACCAGGGGCAGCAGGAGGCAGAGCTTGGAACATGGCGGGCGTCAGCCGTGGTGGGATAGTGGACCAGGTGAGTGGGGGCATCAGACCTAGGCAGGGTGCTGGTTGCTATCATTGGTGTGAGTCTCTGGTGGTTACTGAAAATTCTTTGCTCCCGTGCTCTGTGGTCCCGCCTGCTCTGTGGTCCCACCCGTGCTTGCACCTGCTGCTGGCGCCAGTCTTGATGGCTTGGGGCCGTCAGAGGTGTGAGCAGCTGCTGCCTGCCCCTATCGCCCCTTAGGGCTTCTCCACCTCCCCCTGCTCCTGAAGGGTGATTGGGGCAGCAGCCACTGCTCACAGCTGCTGCTGGCACCGGCCCCAATTGCTCCACGCTGTGAGTGGGTCCAAGCAGGGCTGGTCCTGTCAGCGCGTGGGAGCCACGGCGGTGGGAGTGGGGCTGCAGGCGGGGCCAGGCAGGAGCGTGGAGGATTGGCCGGGACCTGCCCTTATGCCCACCTCAGCCTCACAGCCACAGTTCCTTTCAAGGTGCACAAATTCATGCACTGGGCCCCTAGTTGTAAAATAAACAAGCAAACAACCCCAAACTTCACAGCCTTTTTTTCCCTTTCAGTAGCTGCTCAGTTGCCTATTGCCCTTGCCATCAACACATCTGATCAAAGAAGCAAAACTGGCCTTACCAAAGAGATGACTGCTTCCTGGCGTGAAGCAGCTTGTGGGTTCATTAGTTGCCTGTGTAGAAGGGAGTAAGTGTGTTGTGGTTCAGTTAAGGGGGAGGGGGAGGAAGGCTGATTGTTTTTTGGTATAGCCCAGAGTGAGTTGGGCATAAGGCATCATGATGAGTGCTGCTGATTTCATACATTTTTTCCCTCTTGTTTCTTAGGTCAGAAGGGGCCAGGAGGGGAAAAGGAGATACTGAGGAGGTGCTGACAAATATATCTGTTCAGAACTTTACCTTTTACAAGTCCCATTCAAGTCCTCGTCTTAATTTGAGCTTTATAGCAAGCCTGAGTGGTAGGTATAATCAGCCTCTTTGTACAGTAGAAGGAAAGTCCAGGGGTCAAAAAGTGACTTGGCCAGGGGCAAAGGCAAGTGACAGCTGAGAACTGGCAAGTTCTTAGCTCTCTCTGCTCCTCTGCCCCATTCCGACCACCTAGGATTTGGCCCTGCCAGCTCCCAGTCTAAGCCACTCACCCCTCCACCAAGTTCATCATCATGGGCTTCATCTTGAACTCGTCCACAATTTCAGCCACAACCTGCCTCATAGCCTGAAGAGGGATTAAGATGGTACAAGAGAGAGAAGGAACGCAGGGGTGTACCCTTAAGTGCTTCACAAACCTTTGTTGAATGCTTAGTTCCTTGCATATACCTTCCTTGAGGGAAGGTCTGGTGGGGGAAGCAGACTGGTGACTAGGCAATTACATTACTGTGTAAATGTTACAACTGAACTAAGGGTAGGGTGCACATAGGAAGGTCTCCTAATTTAGTCTGGGCACCAGGAAGATTTCCTGGAGGAGGTGATGCCTCAACTGAAACCTGAAGGGTGAATGGGAGTTAACCAGGCAGTGGGTTGGGGGAGGGTGATTTTTTAGGTGTGGATGCGGGGAGGACATGTATAAAAGCCTGGAGGCAAGAGAGGGAGAGCACAGAGTGTTTAGAGAACAGAAACTAGTTCAGTTTATCAAGGTGACCACACTGGGACTCTTCAACATGGGGCACTCTGAGGAGTTACACTGGGATCACAGGTATCAATCAGGATAGGGTCATCCTAAGCATAGTTGGTGTGTGGTTCTGAGGGGTTGAGTGGTTGAGATGATGCTGGAGGCGTAAGCAAGCTGGGCGGTGAAGGACAGGGTAAACCATTCTGAGGGCAGTGGGAAGCTATTGAAAAGTTTTATGCACAACCTGATTTACATTTTAGGAAAATGTCTTTAGATAAAAGTTGTGTGACTAGTTTTGTAGTAAGCTGTTATAAAGGTAAAAGCAATGGGACATAAGAGGGCAGAGCTGATGCTCTTTGTGGTGATTTGGGAAAACTTCCCATAGGAGGTGGTGCTTAGCCTGGTCTTGAAGGAGCTGTCATATTTGAGTAGGCAGAAGGAGACAAGAGTGAGTTACCAGTGTGACCTTGCAGAGGGGAGAGGGATGACAGGGGCATTTTGTCTGAGCAAAGGCAAGGTGGCTTGAAAACAGGCTGCATTAGGGAAACGGAGTAGGTTAGAGTGAATGTGATTCTTTAGGGGACTGTGGTGGGAACCAAGACAGGGGAGGTCTGAGAAGGGAGAGAGACAGCTTTGGGCTGCCTGGGCTTTGGAGCTTTGGTCTCACTTACGAGGAAGGGTTCATTAGATATCTTCCTCCTGAGTAGGTCAAATGTGAGTCCCTCCAGTCCCTGTGCCTGGATCTGTTCCAGCCCAATGGTCTTGAGCATCTGGGTCGCCTCAAAGCGGTGCTGAGGACAGGGGTGGGGAACCATGAAGGATAGACTCCCTCTCATCCATCCCCCAACTCTGTCTTAGTGCTGGAGAAAGAAGGGTATTAGGCAGCCCAAGACTCACCTCAAGGACACAAGAATAGCACAGCTGGTCTAGGACGGCCCTGATGACCTCGGCTGAGTGTACACGCATCATCTTGACCAGCATCCTAAGTATCTATGGGGGCAGGCAGGGTGGGTGGGGTCCAAGAAGCATCTGGATGGCCAGGCCGACTTGACGGCTGAGTCTAGAACTTGTGGGGACTAGGTGGGGTCCTGCCTCTTGAGTGTGCACATACATAAATGAATACATATCAAATGTGCACAGACACATGTATATGTAGGTCCACATGACCCCTTACCCGTGCATACACACATTCACACACAGGACCTGCTGAAGCTACCTTGCCCTGGGATGAGGATGACAGGGTCCAGACCCCCATGGAAGTCAGCACTAGCCTCTCTTTCCCCCGTCCTTCCCAGGGATCCAGCCTCCTGCCCTGCACACCTTCATCCTCTGGGACATAAGCCCGTGGCATAGGCACTGCAGCAAGAAGTCTCGGGCTGTGTTGCTGCAGGGTCTCAGGAAACCCAAACACAGGGCTGCCTCCATGGCTGCTTCATTCTTTGACTTCTGTATCAGCATCTGCAGCACAGATGCCAGCATCCCTTCATTCCCGATTTGAGTCCTCTGAGAGGAAGACAGGAGGGGACTATGTTCTCAGCCAGGCTTTGTTAAGAGGGCAATTCTTTGCTGCTTCCAGACCATTCTCCCTAAAATGAATCTCATGTTATCAGATTATTTTATCCACTTCTTGTTTTTGTTGTCATCTACTTGGTCCTAGGTCATATCCTCTCATTTCTCTATGACTTTATCTTCTGAATGAATCAATGTTACTCTCTTAATACTTCTGCTGTCTAATTCCCAGCATTTAAAAATATGTACATTTCATTGATCCAGCTCCTCCCCTCCAATAACCTTGTACTCCACACTATGTCAGCTACTAATTCCCACAGAGATTTTATCATTACTTATTAACTACAATTTCTCCATTTCACGGATCACACTCTGACCATCACTTCCTATCTTTCCAGATCACCTCTTGATGTTAACAATTGTTGGACTCCACAAGGACTAATCATCATTAAGCACCATTTCATGCTCCTCACCTTCATCCCTCTTTACCCAGCTTAAATTCCATGGTCCTGCTATAATTACTTCCTGCTTCAACTCCTTTACCTTACCTTGGTTCATTGTATTCAACTCTCTACTTGCTCTGTGCCTGTACTTCCTGGAGAAAAACACAGTCACAATGATTGATCTTGCTTTAGATGGATGAACACAAACTTCATGTAGATCCCTAATGCTGCCTACTGATCATACTGCTTTTCTCCAGGCAATTCTCTTTTCCACCCTCTACATCACACCCTTTCCTCTGGTACCTCTAGCACTTTCTTCCTCCATTCCCACTCAGCTTGTTTCCTACTTTACTGAGCAAGTACAAGTTCCAGAGATACCACCACTTTTATCCAACTTTCAACCTGCACCCATATGTTCTTCCTTTCCACTCGTACTGTAGACTGTTAGAGCTCATTTCTTCTCACCTACTCGAGAACATTGCTGCACAACTCTTCCCACTCTCTTCAAAATGACCAGTTTTCTAACTACTGAATTATTATCCCTCAGACTAGAAACATGTTATTTTTCTTTTTCTAGAATCTACCCCTGGTGCCAACTACAACCCTTTCTAGCAAAACTTGGAAAGTGGTCTGTTCTTGCTGTACACAGGGGGGCAAAAGTAGGTTGTGAGTGGTAAATTGCTACGCCAGTGCTTCCATTCAGGAAACTCCACAGGACAATGCCTTCCCATCAAAATCAGGAGCTAGGTTACCTTCTCCCTGACCTAACCCCCAGCCAACACCATCAATTACCTTGCCCTACCTTGCCCCAATTACTGATCTCCCAATCACCTTGTCTTTGGGGATAGCAGCCCAGGAATTTAGAGCTACTCGTAGTCCCCTCAGAGTATCCATCCTTTGCTCCTCATTTGGCTCCTTCAACTGCTTGATGAGAGCCTGGATCACATCCTTATTCAGGCAACCTAGACAGGGAGGGTCCTGAGGTCAGGGCAGAGCCTTGGGCTGCTCCTCTCTGCCAGGATCCATTGGACTCCACTGTGCCCTCAAGACATAAGTTCCAAGTACTAGGTCCCAAGATATTGCTCATCTTCCCAGGACACCAGAGCAGCTGGCTGAGCGCAACCTTAATTCCAATCTCCCTTTTCACTTCACCTCCCTCTCTCTCTCTCTGCCCAACAGTACCTGGGAGAGTTCCCAGACACTGCCCAGTGCTAGGTTGTGCAGGCATATACTGCACTATCCTTCTGTCTTCACCAGAGGGGAGAGTGGCTGCGCTACCTCCTGTCTCACCTCTCCCAACTCCCCAGCCAGGGAGAGGATATACTTACCCAGGATGGCCAGGGTTCTATAAGCCTCATACTTCACTCTCTCTGGACCAGTTTCAACCTGATTTAAGAGGCAGGTGGTGGAAACATGCTATAAGGTGATGGAATGTCAGAGCTTTAAGAATCTCAGCTTAATCTCATGTTATAAATGAGGAAACAGGCCTAGAGAGTGACCTGTCTACTCAAACACAGTACAGCCAGGAAGGTGTAATGGGAGGCACAAAACTTGGGAGTAAGACTTGTTCAAATACCTATCTGGGATCTAGTTGCCATGTGGCCTTGGGCAAGTCGCTTGGCTTCTCAGAGTTTCCATTTTCTCATTAGGAAAATGCAGATACTACCACCTATTCCTAGTATTGTAAGATTTAAATGAGATTATGTAGAAGGATGCACGCTCTCCATTATAACTGGGCATATAAATATGAGGCATTGATTCAGTTAAGGGAGAGAATGAACTCAGTCCCAGTTCTCTCCTAGTTTTTCAGTTAAGTGTCTTTTCTTAGACAAAAGGGCTCTTCGGATTCCACCTCCCCCATCCTTTTAGATCAAGCTGTCCTTTAAAGGGCATGAGCTGGCATATGCTGCACCCTGGTGACTCTCTTCGCTGGATCTAACCCACCATCCTTGTGAGCCTTGTCTGTGCCCATGTTCTATACACCTTATGCCCTGCTCCCTCTCCTGAATTTGGTGCAGCCCCAGACTTACCACCTGCAGTAGTGCCTCTATGACAGACTCATCACTGATGCCCAGGCATCCCAGAGCCTGCATGAAGAAGGGTAGAGGGAAGGGAAGAGACCTTGGATACCACCCCAGGAGTTACCATTCTCTGTACACAGCTGGATTTGGTTCTTGGAACACCACCCAACCCCCACCTCAAGGATCTTTCTCCTCTTCAACTCAGCCATCTCCTACCTCCACCCTTGCAACTTCTCACCTGTGTTGCATAGAACTGCTCATCCTCTCTGGGAGATTTCAGGCTTTTTGTGAGTTCCTGCCCTTCCAAAGGAGCCAGTGGAGAGGAGGAAAGGAATAAATATAGTTGTAAAACTTCAAACTGAAAGGAGCTCATCCAATCCAATCCCTTTTCCTCGATGTCCTCCATTATGGGATTGAGGGCTGAAGGATGGTGAGAGTTCAAGATAAGGGCATTCACAGGAAGGGAGTCTCTCTATCCTCCCACCATGGTCCCTGACCTTTAATCTTTGCCACTTCAAGGAGTCCTCAGTAGGGTGTAAAGTCTTGGGTTCTTTTCGATATTTTGTAGTCAACTTGATCAAGGGGAGATGGACTTTTTGGATGTCAGTACCCTCTTTGAAGTGGTATCTGTGTGAGAGATTGCACATGCAGCCTTGGTCCCCTTGTTCCCTTCCTCCCCCCTTCACAAATTCTCCTCTGCCCCCGGTTCTCAGCCCAGCTTAGAGATAGGACCAGCGGAAGACAGATGAGCCTCCTTCTACCTTGAGGTCTTCTCTGGGATCTATAGGCTGACTTGCTCCACTCCCTGCCCCACCACACCCTTTCCTTCTCTTTCCTAGAAGGTGCAGAAGGTATGGAGAATAACTAAATCACACTTAAGTTGAGCGCTCATTTTCTGCAACGTCTTCTGGGCCTCCCGTTTCTGTTGATGATCATACAGGATGTGCCAGTGCGTGTACATCTCAGGCGTGTCAAAGTAGCAGTATGGTGCTGAGTCTGGCTTGGCTGGGTGCTGCCTCCAGCACTCTGGACTTGGGGGGAACTCTTCCTTTGGTGTCTGGGAAAACAAGGTGGATGGCAGAGCAGTTGCAGATTTAGTAAACACCAAGCAAATAACAGGATGTTAAACTTGGATTTCAGGTAATGAATGCTATGTGTGTGTGCGTGCTCACACTAGAGGGCTGGTGCATGACATTTGTGCACTGAGGGTGGGTGGGTCCCTCAGCCTGGACTGCAAGAGGGCACAGGTCAGGCAGAGGAACCCCACCAGTGCACAGTCGGGGCTGGGGAGGGATGCGGGAGGTTGGCCAGCCGGGGAGGGACTGCGGGAGGGCTCCAGGGTGTGTCCGGCCCATCTCACTCAGTCCCAATTGGCCGGACCCCAGCAGCAAGCTAACCTACTGGTCAGAGCATCCCCCCCTGGTGGTCAGTGCATGTCATAGCGAGCAGTTGATGGCCTTAGCGTTCATTAGCATATTAGCTTTGATTGGTTGAACGGCTGACTGGTTGGCCGGGCACTTAGCATTTTAGGCTTTTATTATATAGGACACACACACACACATACATACATACATATATATATTTCATTGTTTATATGAAATTCAAATTTAATTGGGTGCTCTGTGTTTTATGAGAATCTCTGTATTAATTAATAAAAATGACTCATCATCCAGCACTGATTGCATTGCCTAGGCCTTGCAGTTGGTACCTCACAACAGTTCCACAAAGGGTTCTGGGCAAGGGTTGGCCTGTGACAGAGGAGGCTTCTGAGGCTTATGGAAGGAAAGTGACTTGTCCAAAAATTAGTGACAAATTCTCTGCCCTCAGTTCTCAGCCCAGCTCAGAGATGGGACCAGAGGAAGTTCTCAACCTTGGCTGCTTATTGGAATTATTCAAGGGAACTTTTAACATGCCCAAGGGTGAGTGTTGGGGTTCTGTGAACTGACCTTAATGGGAAGGGACAGTTTGCTGCCCCTCCTATTCAACAAATCTCCCAAGGTGGCAAAAGTTAGGGGTCTTACCTGGTGGCAGGACAAGGGGAGGTAAACAGGTACCGAGGCCTTTTTGAGTTCTGTGGTACAAATGAGACAGCAGTCATGAAGGCGGGTTAAGGAATCATCCATTCAGGCATTCATTTATTCAGCATTTAGTGAACAGGAGTACTAGGCACCAGGGAGGTAAATAAGGTGTTATTCCTGTCCTTAAGGGGCTTATGGTTTCCTGATACCTTGCTGCTCAAAATGTGGTCTGTGAAACAGCAGGATTGCCATAGCCTGGAAGTTTCTCAGAAATGCAGACTCTCAGGCTCCACCCCAGGCTTCGCAAATCAGGATCTTTATTTCAACAAGATTTGTATGTACTTTGATGTTTGAGAAGTTCTGGTCCAGCAGAGTGGTTCTCAACCGTGGCTGTGAATTGGAATTATCTGAGGGGACTTTTAACATGCCTTGGCCCTACATAAGACTAATAGAATCAGAACAGATTCTCTGAGGAAGGGGCCTCGGTATTAGAGAAAACTCCCCAGAGGATTCTAATGTGCAGCTAATGGTGAAAACCATTGGTCCTGGTCAGAATTTTTTAAACTTGAGTGTGCATTAGAATCACCTGGAGAGTTTGTTAGAGCAATTCCCTAGCAGTGGTTCTCAACCTTCCTAGTGCCGTGACCCTTTAATACAGTTCCTCATGTTGTGGTGACCCCCAACCATAAAATTATTTTCATTGCTACTTCATAACTGTAATTTTGCTACTGTTATGAATCATAATATAAATATCTGATATGCAGGATGTATTTAGGCGATCCCTGTGAAAGGGTCGTTCGACCCCAAAAGAGGTCGCGACCCACAGGTTGAGAACTGCTGCGCTAGAACCGTGGTCGGAAAACTGCGACTCATGAGCCACATGTGGCTCTTTGGCCCCTTGAGTGTGGCTCTTCCTAAGCCGTAGGAGTACCCTAATTAAGTTAATAACAATGTACTGTACCTGTCTATATAGTTTAAGTTTAAAAAATTTGGCTCTCAAAAGAAATTTCAGTCGTTGTACTGTTGATATTTGGCTCTGTTGACTAATGAGTTTGCTGACCACTGCTCTGGAGGATTGATTCTGCCTGAGAATTTGCATTTCTAATGAGATGCTGATGCTACTGGTCCTGGGACCACACTTTTGAGGGCCACTGGATCAGCTGGTGAGACAGACTGTTATTAGTGATTAACAAAGGGAAACATGTGAAGACAGATGAAAGCACAGGTGGTACAGATGAGGGACCCTTAACCTGGCTCAGTACTTGTTTACCCAGAGACTCTGCACAAGCTCTGAGTTTTCAGTCCAAGTAGGAGATAGATAAGGGGAGGAGCATTAGGCACCGGGAACAACTTATGCAAAGACTTGCAGGTGTGAGTGTTAGATAGAGAGCCAGGGTGCAGGTGTGGGAGCAGACCCTGGGAAACACAAGATGTCTCACTTTAGAAGACCCTGGAGACTTACCTTGCCGGCTGTGGGGAGCCATCCAAGTGTTCATGGGCTTTCCATGACCCATCCCATAGATTTGCTGAACTCACCCAGACCCCTGCCAGGAAGGGGACCCAGGGGGCTTTCCTTTTCAGGCCCTTGCCCCTGATTCTGTTCCTCTCCATTGCAGCCTCACCTTTGGTCCTGTATGGATATTCCAGCCATGGGTACTTGAACATTGACCTGGCGATTTCAAAGATATCGATTGATTTTTCGTAGGCCATCTTTTTATTCTCCTGGTGGGGCCAGAGGGCAGGGTGGTGGTGGTGGAGAATACAGGGCCTTCGGGGATGTGGAGAGAGAGCTCAGGATAACCTGTCTTCTGTACAAGAGGAACTAGTGAGATGTCTGGGCTTCTGGAAATGGAAGCTTCCAAGTGCTGAGCAACCAGGTCTCCTAGGTTACTAGAATGCTCCAGTTCCATTCTTTAAAAGGAAAATGTATTGATTGATTTTGAGAGAAAGAGAGAGAGAGAAAGAGAAACATCGATTTGTTGTTCCACTTACTAGTATTTACGCATTCATTGGTTGACTCTGGTATGTGCCCTCTGACTGGAGATTGAACCTGCAGCCCTTGCACATTGGGACAATGCTCCAACCATGTGAGCTACCCCGCCAGGGCTCTAGTTCCATTCTTTAGCCCCAGCCCTGGCATCTACTGGCTTATGGATTGAGCTAGTCATTTTACCTCTAGGAACTTCAGTGTCCTCATCTAAAATGTGGGAAAGTCATGTCTGTCTAGCTAACTAGAGGGGCTATGGTGAGGCATAAATTCAAAGAGATAGTCTAAGGGTTTGGTGAAGTGTCAAGCTCACATAAACCCGTGTTAGGAGCAGGGGTGATTCTTAGGATTAGTCATCAGGAAAAGGGCAGGGATGGGAAAGCCCCTCTTAAACTCACACCTCTTTCCTTGGTAGCAAGAGACTGAACTAACTCTGGGCTAAGACCATTCATACCCCTACTTTAGCCTATGCTGTTTCCTCTAGCTGTCAGGTCTTTCATTTTCCACCTGTTAAACAGTTTTCAAATCTTTCAAACTCTACTTAAATGTTATCTCTGAAGTCTCTTTTCTCCCTGAGGCACCCTGCCTCACCCCATTTAGGTGTAATCCCCCCTACCCCACAATATGACCACAACCTTTTGTAGTAGTGCTTCCCTTTAAGAGTTTGTCTTATGTTTCATCTGTTCATGGGTCTTTCCATCTTCCTCACTAGACTGTGAACTGCCCAAAAGTACAGATTGTGGCTGGTAGCTCTTTCACCCCTCTATTCCGCTCCTGACCCCCACCCCCAATGCCTAGTACAGTGCTTGGCACACAGCAGGCAGCTCACTGTAGCAAGAGAACAGGGGCCACCAAGCCATCAGACTTGACATCACTAGTAAACTGACATTGTGTGCCCTGATGTACTGCACTGAGAAAGACAGCATCACTCTGGTATTCTGGCCAAAAATGTTTACCCTGAGTTTAATTCAGGGGAAACAATCAGGCAAATTCAAATAAAATATTCTACAAAAATCTTATCTGAACTTCCCCGAAATATCTATGTTCTTAAAGACAGAGAAAGTCTGGTAAAGGACACTGAAAAGACATGGCAGCTAAATTCAGTATGTGGACATAATTGTATCCTAGATTTAAAAAATAGCTGTAAAAGACATTGGGACAATTGTGGGCTTTGATCATGGCCTGTGTTTTAGAAAATACATTTAGAAAATGTCAATGTTAGGTTTCCTGAGTGTGAAATATGTACTGAAACTTTTAGGGGTGAAGTGATATCACATCTGCAACTTACTCTCAAATTTGGGGAAAAAAAGTATTATACCAACTATATATATATATATATATATATATATATATATATATACACACACACACACACACACATACACACATGCACACACATATGCATATAGATAAAGCAAATATGGTAAAATGTTAACATTCAAATCTAGATGAAGGTTAATGGGTATATTCTTGCAAATTTCTGTAGGTTTGAAGTTTTACAAATTAAGGATAAAAAAAAAGCATGGGCTTTGACATAAGACCTGATGGGTTTAAATGCTCCCCCCCACCCCCCGCTTCATTTTGCTTCTTTTACTTTGGGGCTTTGGGCAAGTTATTTCCTTCTCTTGCCAAGGATTTTCCCAACTGTAAACATGGTTGATAATACTGCTTCCCTCAAAGGGTTGTGGGGATGAGGGATGATGAATGTAAGGGGCTGGCAATGCCCAGCACACAGTGAGCACTCAGCTATGCTCCCTATAATTACAAAGATATATATTGTCAATATATGTTCACATGAAGGGGCACATCGATGGGGAAGTTGGAGTACTCCCACCTCTTTACTCCATTTGAAAGAACTGAGGTGTTGGGATTGCCACTAAAACCTATTCCAGGAGCAAGACTGGGGATGAGGATTAGGGTAGACAAGGGTAGAAGGGGAAGGTCTGAGGAAATGAAGGTTCTGTGGCAGGGAGTGAAATAAATTCGTGGGGACTTGGGGGTAGGGATGTAGTGACTCTTTTTCCCCCCAGGGTAGATAAGCCACTGTCCTGCCCATGCCCCTTCTCGGAGAGTTCATGCTCCCAGCCCTGCTCACTGTGCAAGGCCATCACCCCCAAATCTAGGGAGGACACCAGGTGTGTGCATTCCTGCATGCTTAATACTCATGAGGAAGGAGGGTCCCTAAGGAAGAAATCATGCCAGGAGCCAGCTTTGAAATTGTCTTGGGAATTTTAATAGAAAGCTGATTTCTCACTTTTGCCAGTCAGCCTATCCCAGTGAGGGGCTGAGGTTGGAGCTCTGGCCATGGGACATTACCATCGAAGCCAAGTTTGTCTCCCTTCTTCGCCTCCAGAGACATGCTGACCAGAGTTATGCCGACTCCTTCCTGATTGCAGAGCCATGCCTGAGCTGAGGCGCCTGCAGCTCAAAAGCTAGAGATTTTCTGTGCACAGTTCAGAGCCCCAGGAGCTCCTGGGGGCTTTGGTGGGGAGGCTTTTATAACTGCCGCTATGCTGTGTAGTGGAATCGGCCTCCCAGGAGGGTGGGAGCCGGGGATTGGGGAGAAGCAATAAGAAAGTTGCATAAATTCTGGGTTTAAGGCGCCTTTCATCCTAGCTCATCTCCAAAGCGTTGATAATCTCCCGCACCCATCTCTTCTCTGGATTGGCACACACCTGACGGTTCTTTCGGGTGATTAAGCTGTGGGAGAAGAGAGGAGAGAGAGACCTGGTCAGCGCTGGGACAGCCAGTTTTAAGAATGATATGGATTGAGGCACAAGAGGAGATGATGAAGGTACTGGGTAGGTCATTTTTGGAGCTCCGTAAGATTTTATCTGTGGCTTTTAAGGAAAGGACATTTCCTTTCCTGTTGATTCAAAAGGGCTCCAAGTCAGAAGCAGAGTTGTGTGCATTGTAATTCTCTCACACACACATGCCACCTGGAGAGCAAAGGGGATACAAGCCCGAGGAGCCCCGGGTTGAACTGGTCAACCATTAGCCTTTCCTCTGTTTCGGACCCCGTACTGGGTGCTCCAGATGCAGAGAAAAAGAGGCATTCTCTGGGAACTTGGTCATGGCTGAGCAAGAGGGAGACTGGAGGTGGTAAAACAAACCTGTGAGGGGCCTGGGCATTAGTATCTTTTCAAAGCTCCTCAGATGATTAGAATGTTTACCCAAGGTTATGAGCTCTGATATAGAGGAAGGAGCTATAAATGTTGGACTGGATTAATAATACGAGATCCACTTACTCATTCCCTAACTATGTCCCTTGAAAGGGCCCTGAACAACATGAGTGGACCTAAAGGTATATGCTAAGTGAAATAAGTCAGACACAGAAGGACAAATACTTTATGATTTCACTTATACATGGAATCTAAAAAAAACCCAAAGTAAATGAACTATCAGAACAGAAACAAACTCATAGGTACAGAACACAAACTGATGGTCCCAGATGAGAGAGGGGTTGGGGGCTGGGGGACAGGTGAAGGGATTAAGAAGTATGAATTGGGGCCAGCCAGCATGGCTCAGTGGTTGAGCATTGACCAGCAGGTCATGGTCTGATTCCCGGTCAGACCATATGCTCTGGTGGCAGGCTTGTTCCCCAGTGTGGGGCATGTAGGAGGCAACTGATCAATGACTCTCTCATCATTGATGTTTCTATCTCCCTATCCCTCTCCCTTGCTCTCTGAAATCAATAGAAATATATATTTTTAAAAAGAAGTATGAATTGGCAGTTACAAAATAGTCACAGGGATGTAAAGTCCAGCATAGGGAATATAGTCAATTGTATTGTGATAACTATGTATAGTACGGGTGGGGACTAGACTTACGGGGGGGGTCGGGTCACTTTATAAGTTATATAAATGTCTAACCACTATGCTGTATACCTGAAACTAATATAATATTGAATGTCAATTCTAATTGAAAAATTAAAAAACCACCCCCCCTTTCAAAAAAAACCCCCCATATAATTTGGCTTTAGATAACACAGTGCCTGGCACAGGGTAGAAACTCAACAAATGAATACATCTATGCATGTGTGGGTGAATGAGGGAAGGACATAAACTGGAGTCTTGATTTCACCACTTACTAGTTGGATTACCTTTGGCAAATCGCTTAGGGCCTCTGAGTCTATTCGCAAATTTCTAAAATGTGGACAGAAACAATTCCTACTTTGCACAGTTATTGCGGAGGTCCAATGAGATAGTATGTGGTTTTGAAAATAGCATGCATGTGCTGTTGTTGTCGTTGGAATGCTGTGGGACCTCTGCTTTAGGGTGGATCAGAGCAACATGAGACCAACGATCCTGGTACAGGGCACTGTGGCTCAGAGAGGTGGAGGACACTGAGATATTGGCAGTGTCAAAGCACTTCTACCAACTAACCGGCCACTTTGGGGCTAGCCCTGCCTACTTGGACCTTTCTTGTTTTGGCTTCTCCTTCAGGATGTTTTCAGATAAAAATGAAGGCTTAGGTTGTCTGGTGAGAATGAGGGTTTCTTGGTCCTGTTCCATGCTCTGTCATGGGTAGTCTTTGCTCTCAGGCAAGCTGCTTCCCTGTTCTGAGCCTCACTCAGAGCCCCGTGACCATCTCTCTCCCACCCTAGCGGGCAGAGAAGAGAAAGGGAGCAGAAGCCATATTCTGGGCTCTTGTACCTCCTAGTGTTTATTTTCTTATTTGGGGTGGTAAGAGAGCTTCAGACCCAGACCCCGCTCTTGTTAAG